TGTGGCAGCACGGTGCCCATGTGCCCCCTCCACAGGCCCAGGTGACCAAACTGGGTGAGGAGATGAGCCTTCGCTTCCTCAAGAGGGAGGCCAAGCTGTGTGGCTTCCTGCAGAAGAGCTTCCTGGCCCTGGAGAAGGTGGGAGCTGGCAGCTGGCGGGGCTCTGCTGTGCCCCCTGCTCCCTGGCTCACAGCAGTGGACGGGGTCTCCCGCAGAGAATGAAGGCCTCAGAGAGCACACGGCTGAAGGTGGAGAGCAGCCTGCGGGAGGAGCTGGAAAGCAGGTGGCGCAATCTCCAGGAGCTGGCTGAGGAGCGCTTGCAGGCCCTACGGGGGCAGTGCAAGGTGGGCAGCTCGGGCTGGGCACGGGCGGGGCACCTGGTGGGGGCCCAGGTCTCAGGCCACCTCTGCACTACAGCAGGAAGAGTGCTACCTCCTGGAGCAGTGCCGGGGCCTGGACAGGGCCGTGGTCCAGCTGACCAAGTTTGTGCGCCAGAACCAGGTGTCACTGAACCGCGTCCTGCTGGCCGAGCAGAAGGCCCAGTGGGTATCCAAACGGGGCAGCGGGCAGAGAACGCGGGAGTTGTCAGGCTGGGTGGATGGAAATGGCCCCTCTCCCTGGACCCCAGCTTCCTGATCCCAGTGTCAGGCCCAGTGGGGTGCCTGGCAGAGTAGCCACGCACCCTCAGCCTGCCCCTCACGGGGGGACTCATTGTGGCAGCGATGGACGCAGCCCTGTTTTGGTGGCCCCTGTGACGGCACTCCCATCCTCTGCTCCAGTGAGTTTCTTGGAAGGTTCTGGAGCCAGCAGCCAGGCTCCCCTCCCTGGCCCAGCTCTGAGTGGCGGGCCAACCTCCGCTGAGGGACAGTCTCTCTCAGTGGCACCAACCCCCAGGGACACCAAGGGCCACTTGGAGGAAAGCCAGGCTGGGGAGCTGGCTGCCTACTTGCAGGAGAACATGGAAGCCATGCAACTGGCCAGCGAGGAAGCTCGGCAGGAGATGCAGAGCACACTGGAGCTGGTGAGGGCTGCAGGCGCTGGGTCCAGTCTCCTTGTGGGATCCCCCACCGCCCAGCACCCACACTCGGCCCGACCTCCCACAGCTCCAAGAGAAGAGGCAGGCCTTGGAAGCGTCCGTGGCCGAGCTGGTCAGACAGGTGGGGGACCTGAATGACCACTTCTTGGCCCTGAGCTGGAGGCTGGACCTGCAGGAAAAGACGCTGACCCAGAAGCTGTGTGAGGTGAGGCTGTCTGGGGGAAAGGCAGCTTAGACAGCTGGGGTCCTGGCGCCGCTCTGGCTCCCTAAGGGTGGAGGCCGGACCGGCAGGTCCCGAAAGTCCCCAGTGACGGTCTGTGAGGCCGAGGGCGGCTCTGAGGCCAGAGCCCTCCTGCTCGGAGCAGGCAGCCCAGGTCAGCTGCTGAGACGTTCAGGGGCCCAGAGGCCTGACCACACAGCGGGCTCCATGCAGGGGCCAGCACAGCAACTCTGCCCCTTGGGTTCTTTTTTCTCCTTTTTGAAGTTTAATCCATACACCGTACACTTCCCCCTTTTAAAGTGTGTCATTCAGTGTGTTTTTCATGTATTCAGAGTTGTACAGCCACCACCACAATCACTTTTAGAAGGTTTTCATCAGCCCAAAAGGAGGCTCTGTCCTCACTAGCAGTCACTCCCGCCCCGCCCCCGGACCCCGGCACCCACCATCTGCTTCCTGTCTCTGTGGATTGGCCTGTTCTGGGCACTTCGAAGACATGGAGTCAAACACTATGTGACCTTCTGTGTCTGCTTCCCTCGCTGATGGCTTTTTTATTTTTATTTTTTATTTTTTTAATTGTTTTATTGCTTAAAGTATTACAAAGGGTATTACATATATCTCCTTTTCCCCCCGCCCTGCTGATGGCTTTTTTAAAGTCCATTCGTGTTGTAGCATTTTTGTCCTTTTGGGGGCTGAGTGCTGTTCCACCATATGATGGACCACAACTGTTTACCCATTTGTCAGTGATGGGCACTGGCCCTTTTTGGTGACACGGAGGGCGCTGCTGTGAGCACACATGTACACCCTTTGGTTGTGGGGCAGGCCGCCCACCGGCCTGCCTGCGCCTCCTCTTCCTGCAGTGTGGGAGGACTGTCTTTCTCTCTGTCCTTATCCCCACTGACTCACCGGGGGCAGCAGGGGTGGGGAGGGGCTGAGCCAGGCCTGGAGGGTGCGTGGCTGGCCTGGCTGGCCTGTGCGAGGCCTGTGTGCATGAGCTCAGAGTCAGAGGCATGCCCAGTCTGTCTGTCCACCCTCCCTGTCCACACTCCGGGCCTCACCGGGTGTCTGTGTCCTAGGCAAAGAGTGAGCGGGAAGGTGCGGAGCGGAGATCGATGGAGGGCCTGGCCTGGTGTCGAAAGGAGGCCCAGGCTTACCTGAGGGAGGTGCGGGAGACAGTGGACAGCCTGCCTCGGCAGGTGGGTGAGGGCTGGGGTCGGACCGCCCCTCCCCTGCGTGCCCACCCTTAGTCGCCAGCCCGCCGCAGCCTCTGCTCCGTTTCAGATAGAAGCTGTCTCTGACAGGTGCATCCTGCACAAGAGTGACTCGGACCTCAAGATCTCTGCTGAGGGCAAGGCCAGGTGAGGCTCCGCTCCCAGAGCAAGTCTGGCAGGACCGCACCTGGGAAGGGGAGGGAACTCCACTGGGTTGACCGCCAGAGAGTGGCCGGGAGGGCACAGCTGTCTCAGAACCACTTGCTGCACCAACAAGCCTTCTCTCAGGTGCTCCTACCTGAGCTCCCAGCATGTGGCAGCCCTAACCCCTCCCAGCCCTGGCTTGGGGGCAGCCTGCATGGATTCCCGAATCTTTCCCTCTGTCACTCCAACCCCCACTAGAGGGGTGTGGCAGAGCAGAACGCCCCTTACTCTGCCCAGGGTATCCTCCCTCTACTCACCTTGCCCCTCACCCTAGAGCGCTCCCCCGAGCCTGGCAGCCTTGGCCTCCCGTACCCACAGAGAGTTCGAGGTTGAGGCCATGCGGCAGGAGCTGGCTGCTCTGCTGTCCTCCGTGCAGCTGCTCAGGGAGGGCAACCCCGGGCGGAAGATTGCCGAGATCCAGGGCAAGCTGGCCACGGTACCCTCTCGGGCCCCAGTGCCCGTCACGCTAAGAAGAGGGGGGCAGCCCCCTGTGGAGGGTCCCCAGGGAGGTTCACGGATGTCCTGCTGGGGGACTCCCCGCCTTAGACTCTGGAAGTTCCAAGTGGAGGCACTGTTGGAGCCCCACACGCTGGGGCATCGGCAATCGCAGTGAAAGGAGCGCCCTGAGCCCTAGCTGTCCCCCCCCCCCCCCATCGCGGGGCTATAATGCCCCCGATCCCACCAAGGGGCCAGGTCCTGCTCTTGGGGGGGGGGGGGGGCTGCTTCCATGTCCACGAATGAGGGGCAGTATTTAGTTTCAGAACCAAATAATAAAATTGGAAAACAGCATCCAGGACAACAAGACCATCCAGAACCTCAAGTTTAATTCGCAAATCAAGATGGTGAGAAGCGGCCTGGGCTGGCTCCGGGGTCCCAGGCCAGAGGGTGGGCTGCTTTCTGTGCAGAGCCCGGCCACCAGCTCCCCTGGCCCCTCCCAGCCTGCCCACCCTCTGTCTTCAGTCTTCCCCGCCATCTGTCTGTCTGTCTGCATGTCTGGCCTGAGCACCGTTTCCAGGCAGATAAGGCCCTGGTTTGCCCAGAGGAAGATAATCCTGCCTGCAGGCCCCCCTCGGTCCCATCCCTCATTCCCACCTCAGCTCTGCTCAGGCCGCCCCTGCCCCTGCCCCCAGCGCACGGAGGAGATGGCCACGCTGAAGGAGTGCCTGGAGGGCCCATGGGCCCTGACGCTGGACAGCAGGAAGGTCCTCGTGTCCCTGGTGAGACAGCAGTTCATCAAGAATGTGGCCTCTGGCGAGCTGGTCCCCGTGAACCGCTGGGGCGTGTATCAGGCAGTGAGGTGAGCAGTGGGGAGCTGCCTCGGGGTCTAGGTTCAGGGGTGGGGAGGCCCCGAGGCCCGTGAGCCCTGAGCCATGTCTCCGGGCAGGTGGCTGCAGTGGAAGGCGGTCCTCATGAACCAGGTCGCCAAGTGGAGGCCACGGACAGTCTTGGAGAGGTCCCTTGGCCAGGAGCCTGCCCACCAGCTCCCCATCTTGCCCCTTTTCCAGAAATAAACATGCCACTCCTGTATGTCAGGGCCTGGCATTCCCTCCAGGGGGTCAGGAGACCCAGGCGGTGGGAGTGGCCAAGAGGCTCCATCCCTGAAGCCTGTCTGTCCCCAGACTCCCAGGATGCCCTTCTCCTGCCCAAGCCTAGGGGAGCCCAGCCCCCGCCGTGTTCCTGGGCCGGAGATCCACAGCCACTCCTGGTTGCCCCTCCCCCACCACCACCCCAGCCTCAGGACCTGTGTCTGTCACCCATGCCCTCCACACCTGCCAGGTGCCCACCAGAGAAGCGGCTCTTCCCGCCCTAATCCGGGGAGCAAACAGTATCTGCTCGTGCACTCAGCAGCACCCTCCTCCTGCCTTGCCAAGAAAACGTGGCTCCTCTGGGCAGCTGGCCCTGCCACCTGCTTCGGGGCTTGAGGAGGGGCCACCTGGGACCGGCCAGTGGGTGGGCAGTGGGCGCGTTCGCCTGGGGAATCTCGGGGCTGGGCTGGTTGGGCACAGTGTCTAGACCCCCTGAGCCCACAGCCTCTGAGTGGCCACAGCTTCTGTCCTGTCCTCCCTCCTGTGGGCAGAGCTCCAAGGGCTGGAGGCCAGGGTGGCCGGGTCGGGTGCCGCAGCCTTCAGCCCCTGCCATCCCTGCCCTGGTGGCCTCTGGTGGTGGCAGCTCCAGGTCCCAGATGAGCCCTGGCCCTCTTCCTGGGCCTGGAAAGTCCCCACCTAAACTGGTTTGTCCTCCTGGTGGCTACCAGGGCCACCCATCTTCAAGGGCCCCACAGTCCCTCCCAGGACAGCCCAGAGCTGGAGATTCCAGACACCCGCTGCCACAGCTCACTGGGCCTCGGCCAGCTGCACCCCCTCCAGGGCCTGGGTGCCCCTGCCTGGCAGCTCTGGGCCGGCCTCCACTGACCAGCTAGCCAGCAGGTCACTGAAGTCGGGAGTACCGGGGTGCAGCAGGCCCAGGGGGCTGGGCGCCGGCTCCTTCCAGAAGGAGGGGGGCAGCTTCCTCTGCGTCATGGGTCTGATGTGGCCGTACTTCTGCTCCAGCCTCAGCCGGTGGCTGGCGGACACCCTGGGCACTGAGAACTGCCGTAGTCCATAGTCAAACAACTCGGCCAGGGGCCCCAGCGGCTGCACCCTTTCTCCGCCAAGGCCTGTCTCATGCACCTGCCCCTGGGGACCCCTGGGAGAGTGGACCCCAGGCTCAGCAGCCTTGTCATCATTGGGGGACCCTCCCTGGGCCAGGTGCACCAGGTCTGCATAGTAAAGCTCCCTGGCTGAGCTGCTGGCGGGGTGGCCATCGGCGTAGATGTCACAGGCGTCTGGGTCCTGCCCCCCGTCCTTTCGGCCAAAGTACCTCTGGATGTCGCCGCTGATGAGCTCAGAGAACCGCAGCAGCTGCAGTGGCATCTCGGGGCTGCTCGGACCTGGAGGGGCCTCTTCTGGGGCAACTATGGCCCAACCTGAGCTGTGGGGGGCTGGGCTGTGGGCCCCTGGCCCCTCACCCTCCAGATCCTCTTCGTCTTCCTCCCCTACCTCCTCCTCCTCCTCCTCCTCCTCCTCCTCCTCCTCCTCCTCCTCCTCCTCCTCCTCCGAAGTGTCCGGGGGCTCTGGGTCTGGGGGCAGGAAGGGCCGAAGGGAGGGCAGGGGCAGCTGGAAGTCACAGAGAGGCTGGATCACGCCTGCAGCCATGTCCTCCACGTTGGAGCTTCGGGGACCTCCGGGCAGCGGGTGCCTGCGGGGAGGGGGGTGGAGAGGGGGCAGGTTATCAGTCAGGGCCTGCAGCCCCTGGTGGAACTGGGCACTAGGGCCACCGGTTCTTGGAGAGGGTGCTGAGCTCAGAAGTGGGTGAGATTTGGGAGAGATGGGGCAGGGCACCATGGCAGTGGGCGTGGTGGGAGCAGGGTGGGGGGAGCCTGCAGAGTGCAGGCCGAGGGGGTTAGAACAGCCAGCGGCCTGTGGATGGTCAGGTCCTGTGAGCAGCGCATCCTGAAGGGTGGTCAGTGGGGGTGGGGGTGGGGGGTAGATGGCAGGGTGGTGCCATGGAACAGTCGACTTGGGGAGAGAAGTCACAGAAGAGAGAAGCAGGGGAGGTGGGCAGCAGGCGTCCAGGCACTGGGGTGAGAGTGGGTTTGGGGCCTTGGAGGGCAGAGCCCTTGCCCCAGGATGGGGTTGCTATGGTTCCTGAGGTTGCTATGGCTCACGGAGGTGGTGTCTGCCCCCTCACAGGAGTGTTGGGTTGGGAGCATCCCACCATCCCTGAGATGCCCACACTGAGCCAGGGGACTGGGCTTGGCATCCTCAGGGGGCTTCTCCCACCCCCATTTCTGCCGTCCCATCTAATTCTAATAAGAGCAGTCACAGTGCCAGGCTTTCATTTGTTCCCTTCTGGGAGCCAGGGGTGAATGAAACAATGCTCCATGGTGCGGCGGGTCAGCAGGAGGCGAAAGGGGCCGGTGGCCTCCTCTTGGCTGGGGCTGGGAGGATGGGGCTGGGAGGATGGGGCGGGGAGGATGGGGCTGGGAGGATCGGGCGGGGGCTTGAGGAGGAGACTGTCAGGGGTGCCTCTGGCTCTCCCCTTGACCTGCAGCCAAGCAGGGGGCTGGGGGCTGGTTCTGAATGCAAAGCCTCCTCCACCAGGGGCCTGTTGGCCTGCCCCCTGCAGTTGGGAAGCCGATGAGTGAACCCGGGAGAGAAGGAAGGACGGAAGGGACTGTGATGTGGAGAGCAGGAGAAGGGGCTCCTAGATTGTCAGAAATCGCCTCCCTGGGGGCCGGGTGAGTCCACAGGCATCACGGGGAGTCAGGCGGACCTGGGGGGCACGGCCTCCCCTCCCTGCAGCCTGCTGGCCATGCCGTGCTCCCATCTGGTTCAGGGCTGGGTCCCTCTGCCCTTTAGTGGGGGCATCTAGTGGCCCCAGCTGTGGGGTGGCTGCTCATGTGGAGCTAGGACAGTACCCCCGCCCCATGTCCCAGCCTAGATGGCCTGACCCTGTGCAACCCTGCTGGTGACCCCCACAGTGGGTAGGTGGCCCCCAAAGGCCACCTGGTCAGAAGGGCCCACAGCCTTCCCGGAGGGAGACCCCCTAGCCTCCCGCCTGCTGCCCGGCGCTGCTCTTACCTGTGAGGCCTGCAATCTGCGGGGCAGGCCCACCTGCACCTGGGCTCAAGCATTTATAGCTGCTCTGCTGCCGGCCAGGCTGGCAAATATTTGGGGACTGCATTGTCATCGCAGACTGGGCAAATAGAATCCGTTTGCTTTAGCGCCCAGCAACCAGGGCCCAGCCAGGGGGAGCCTCGGCCTGCCTGGGGACCGTAGAGTGTTTGCTGCGCACCCAGCTGGCTCACACCCGGCCGAGGACCCTTATCTCCACCGCTGATTGGGGCCCCGACCGAGCCTTGTCAAATAGGCGGAAAATTAAATTTCATGCTATTTTGACTTCTGGAGTAGCCTTCTCTAGAGGACATCCTGCTTGTGCGGCGCTCTGGGTGCGCGGGGCTCTGGCCAGCAGCGCACCTGAGCAGGCCGAGGGAGGAAGGCCGGGGACCACCACTGGGCCCAGGTGGGGGGCTCATGCTGTCACGGCCCCTGGAGCCCCTGCTCGCCCTCTCCTGCCACCTCACTCACCCCAGAGCTGCCATTGAACCCCTGCTCCTCCCCCAGGGCTTCCTCCCCAGGGTCCAGGCGGAGACAGCACCTCCCTTCTCTGCTTCCTTTTTTGGCTCCCACACCTTCCTCTGGGGGGGGGGCCGGGGTGTACCCCCTCCCAGCCTGTGGAGCTTGCCTGCAGGGCGTACTTGCTACACCTCCCTAATGTGTTACAACCAGGAGCAGGACCCCGAGGGTCTGCCCCCTGCCAACCTCCCATGTCCTGGAGGCCCCAGCCCCTCTGCCCTGTGGTGCTGCATTGTGTCCTGAGGCCGCCGTAACCATCGCCACAAGCAGCAGCTGAGAACAGAGAGGGATTCTCCCAGTCTGCAGGCCAGACCTCTAAAGTCCAGAGTCTCTTCGGACCCTAGCTGGGTAGCTCAGTTGGTTAGCGCATCGTCCCAATACCCCAAGATTTCAGGTTCGATCCCTGGCCAGGGCACATGTAAGAATCAGCTGCCCTACCCGGTTTGGCTCAGTGGATAAGGCGTCAGCCTGAGGACTGAAGGATCCCGGGTTCGATTCCGATCAAGGGCACGTATCTCAACTGCAGGCTCAATCTCTGCAATCCATGCATCTCTCTCACATAAATGTTTCTCCCTCTCTCTCTCTTCCCCCTGCCCCCACTCTCTCTAAAAATCAACGGAAAAATATCTTCGCGTGAGGATTAACACACAAAAAAAGAATCAGCCCAGCAATGCATAAATAAGTGGAACAACAAATTGGTCTTTCCCCCGTCCTCTCTCTCTAAAACCAATTTTAAAAACCCAGGGTTTTCGGGGCTGGCTCCTCTCTAAGGCTCTGGTCGGGAACCGGCCACACCTCTCTCCTGGGCTCTGGTGTCACTGCGCGATCCCTGGCATTCCCTGGTCACTCGGCTGTCCCCATGCCAGTGCCCGTGTCCATGCTCCCTATTCTTACAGGGGCACCACCACTGGGTCAGGCCCACCCTACTCCAGCCTGAACGCCTCTTCACTTGATCATAAATGCAAAGGCCCGATTTCCACATCAGGTCACATTCTGATGTCCAGGGGGACTTGAGTTTGGGGTACATTGTGACCATGTACCCCCCACCCCCACCCATCATTGTGGCCACTGCCAAGAGCCTTGCTGCCCTGAACCAGCCCCTGCGGTGCTGGCTGGGAGGACCCCAGCATCCCATCCACTGTGGCTCCCAAAGCCACCACCGCTTGTGGTCCAGGTTCTGAGGGCAGAACAGCAGCCCCTCCCAGCTTGGCATGTGTCCCACCCCTGGGCCCCACTGTTACTCCCCAAAGTGGGGGCCACCCATCCAAGGGGATGGGAGGGTGTCGGATGCCACCCCACCTCTCCCTGAGTCCTTGCCCTTCAGCCCCAGGCCCCACCCCCTTCAGGAGGAGATGACGCCATCCCACCAGTGATATCCAGGACTTCCCTGCAAACGGGGGTCGAGGGGGGGTCTGCCCTGCTGATTGCTGCCAGTCACTTTTCAGGCATCTGGAGGGTCACATGTAGGCGTGCGGTGCCACCCCAGGAACAGGTCCTGCCCGGGCCAAGTTGGTGACCTGCCATGCGTGGGTCTTTGAAGCTGCGGATGTTGTTTGCCTGGAGTAGGACCAGGGTGGGGGGAGGCAGGGCCACCGCAGGCCCAGGGAAAGGCTTCAGGGAGAAAGGAGGGGTGTGTGACAGGCCAGGCCTCCCTAAGGCCTATGGATACAACTGGTCATCACGCGCCCTTCAGCAGGCCTGGGGTGAAGCCGGCCTCAGGTGGGGGTGTCTGGCGAGGATCTGCTGCATGGGTCCAGTCCGTGTTTGGACCTCAGTCCCCTGGAGACTGACCTCCGTCGTAGCCGCAGTTCTCCGAGACTCCGTGGTCTGATGACACTGTTGTCCAGATCCTGCCTGTGAGGGGGCCCTGCCCCAGGCTCTCTCTGCCCAGCTGTCAGCCAGGATCTGCAGGAGGCCTTGGGTGGGGTCCCAGGTGGTGCTGGGGCTGCTGGGGCCCCTGGGCTCTCTCTGCCCAGGTCCTGCTCTGCCTCCTGCTGGCCCAGGGAGCTGCCCACTGTTACCTGCCCTACCCCAGGGCAGCAATTTTCACCCGGTGTGCCACCTAGCACACTGTCGCGACACAAGAATTTTTTACACATGCAATACCCGACTGTTCAGTCAGGAGCACTGACCCCTGCTCCCTTAGATTGTCAAGTGAAAAGACGACAACAGCCAATACAACAGCCGTCCGGTGTAAAGCGGGTCTTTTCTTTTGTCAGATGGGCCACAAGCGTATCTTTTGGCGTGCCACAGAACTTCCCTAATTCGTTTATGTGTGTCATGAAATGAAACCTGTTGAAAATCGCTGCCCTCAGGCCAGCAGCTGCCCAGGCTGTAGCCACAGTGCCCCCTGCTGCTGGTCAGGAGGGGCCAGTGTCAGGCCCGCGCTTCTGGCCTCCAGGCCTCCTCCGTGCCAGGCATGGGCTGGGTGCTGGGGGCACTGAGGAAGATGAGATGCCACCCTGCCCTCAAGAAGGTTCCCCCCCCCAATTGGCCAGAGGAGGCGGTTTTCGGGTGCTGATGGGAGCAGGAACTCATCTGGCCGAACTGCAGGAAAGGGGTCCTGCAGACGGGACAGCCTGCAAGGACCCAGACCTCGAGGAGCGGGCACCCCTGTGGTCGACTGCATGATGGACCCCAAGGACGTCCGGGCCCTAAGCCCCAGCAGCTTCGGCCATGTCACCTCACATGGCAAAGGAACCTGCAGAGGTGGCTGAGGAAGGACCGTGACGAGGAGGGATACTGGGTCCCTATCAAAGGGAGGCCAGCGGTCCGAGTGAGAGGAGGGGAGGTGAGCACAGGAGCAGTCCCTGCTGGCTTTGGAGGCGGAAGGTTGCCGCGAGCCAAGGAATGGCGCGGCCTCTAGAATCGAAAGCGAAAGGAACTGATTCTCCGCTGGCGCCTCCGCAGCGCAGCCCTGCAGACCTTGATTTCGGCCGGGGAAGCCCATTTCCACGCCCGGTCACAAACCCGTGTCGTCAACCGCTCGGCTTGTGCTCCTTGGTTTCAGCAGCAGA